GCACGTAATTTGCCTTGGACTTTCTTTTTGCGGACTTTGCGGACGACCCTTCCGATTAAAAATAATAGTGAATTAAAATCGTGGAACTAGTGAGTGACTCCGTGCCCTCGAGCAGCGAAAAGGGAAGTTTCGAAAAGTAAGAAAATTCCCATTTTCCTGTGACGTGTGATTAACACTTCTCAGGTAGAAGATCAGATAAATTCACGCTACCCATTTTAAGATAATTTAAATTTTCTAACTAAATATTATTTTTGATAACGCACGTCCCAGCCTTGCTACCCTAGTTACAACGATAACCACTTCAATCATTTCAAAATCATCAGTTGATGTCTGTGTATCTCTGTATTTCAATTTCATCGTAGCTCCCAAAAATATGAAACGATTTTAATGCGGTTTCTTTTGTTTGAAAGACGGTTCAAATGTAAAGGTTTTTACGAGGGTGGTTTGATGAATAACTCGGTTCGCATCGTCTTGGAGGGCGAACGAAAAAAAAGCAGTAACTGCATATGTAGACTTCAAGTAACCTGCCTATAGATGACATTTCACAATTTTATAAAAGAATACATTAATTTGGATCATATGCGTTTACTAGGTCCATTGACAGAGCACAAAATCGAAAGTGATCCCCATTACTTTTTGCATCACCATGCGGTTTTCAAAAATGACAGGGTCACTGATAAGATTCGCCTAGTATTTGACGGGTCAACCAAACCATCCTTCGGAAAAATCATAAATCCTTGTCTTAGTACAGGGCCAAAAATACAAAACGACATTTTTGATTTAATAATTCGATTTAGGACGTATAAGGTTGCCTTTACAGAGGACATTTGCAAGGTGTACCGTCAAATTTTAATTCATCCCGAAGACAGACCATATCAAAGAATTTTGTGGCGGGATGATCCCGTGCTTTGCCAAGCACGTGTCACTTTAGCCAAATGAGCTTCGAATAAAAATTTGCTGAATGATTTGGCAACTAACCACCTCAATTTTCATTTCATTCTGCCTTCCGCGCCAATATGGGGAGTATCAGGAAAGCAACGTTCAAATCTGCGAAAAGTCAGTTGAAGCGCGTTATTGGTGCATTGTCATTTAATTTCGAATAAATGCAGACGTTGCTAATACAATGCGCGCCGGTTAACCGCCATGTCCAAAGATATAAATAACCTGACTCCTTTAACTCCCGGTCACTTCCTCGTTGGAAGCCCTCTAACTACTATTCCAGAGCATAACGTCACCACGCTTTCAACGAACCGGCTCTCCAGGTGCCAACAAATCAGCCGCACTCAATAGCAATTCTGGAAACGGTGGCCAGCGGAACATTTGGGTCAACTTCATCATCGCCCAAAATGGAACAAGGCCAGCTACAACAGCATAAGGTGGACGATTTGGTGGTCATTAAGGAAGACCACACACCCCGCTTGTATGGACCATTGGGACGTGTTACTACTGTTCACCCTGGTCAACATGGCTTCATTCGTGCAGTGACAGTGAAAACCGCGCATGATGTGATTAACCGGACAGTGACTAAAACATGTGTGCTTCCGCCCAATTCATATACAAATGTGTAGTGTCTAAATTTACTCCTGTTTTTTCTATGTGTTGTGTACTCTATTTTATTGTCAATGTATGCACTTATCATGTAAACACGTATCATGTATTCATATTTAGGTATTTGCAATTGTTAAACTTATTGTCATGTTGAAAGTTACTTCGTTCAAGGCGCCGGACCATGTTCGGGTTTCGCGTTTTTTCCTAGCAACCCTCGTAAGCAGCGTCCCCAACTTTCTCTTCTAAATCTACCTGCAATGTATCTTTTTCGAATTTGCACACTTTTTGTACATAGCTTCCCAACCATCAATCACAAGAAAATACAGTGTCACACAGCACATGTTTGTGTTTCATTTGATTCATATTTCGGTACGTATGTATCAGTAACAATCATACATCCAACAATATATATTTTTTTATTTTCAAACGTCATATAACTGACACTTATATGACGCTCTTACCGGGGTTTAAGTGTCACTTCTATGACACCGTGTTTGAGCCGCGTATAAGTACTATTTTTCACTAGCAGCCATGAAGCATGCAAATGTCGACTCATTTAGAGGTAGCAAATTCAACTTTTGCGACCACGAGTTCAAAAAGAAAGATTGCGGTTATGTACGCAATGCTTGATGAGATTATTTCTTAAAAAATGAATAAATGTGTGCTACTAGCATTACTTGAGTATACGTATGGTAGTTGGTAGACGGTAGAAGATAAAACGATTAATTCAGCGACAAGTATGTTTATACTTGTCGCTGAATTTTCCTTTGTTGAAGATTTAGATTAAGTTTGATTAGAAATCAAAACAAAATCATGTTGCGTCAAAAAATTGAACGTTTATTTTTTCAATTTATTGTCTTATGGTTTCTACTAGTGAAAAAATAGTATATTAACCACGGTTGTAAAGCCACTTCTAGACCTCGCGCTTCAGAGCCCTCGACGCTGCGCGTCTCGGGTTCTAATTTGCGCTCGGTCTAGAATGCTTGGCTTTGCAACCTTGGCTAATAATATACTAATTTATACTCCGCCGGCGTATATGAAAATCAATATGGTTGTCAACCATAGTAACCATGGTAAGTGAAATCAAGGCAATTCCTTAAAGAAGCAAGAAGATAGGAAATAATCATTTCAAAAGAAGATTATTAATCGTTTGAAAATAAAATATTGTATTTCATTCGGAGTTTAAGTGATTTCATGTGACTCGTATGGACTTAATTCGCCTCGATATCGCTCGGCGTTTAATCGTCCATACTCGACACATAAAATATCACTTGAACTCCTAATAAAATAAATATCTATTATTTTTATTACTATTGCTTTTGTTGCAAACGATAAAGTAAATAACAAAACCAAACTCCTAAATATTATTTATTTGTGAAAGTTTAAGAAAAGTTTTCCGCCAAAAATATTGTATTTGTAATGAATGGGCATGCTCGACCAGTGCAAGTAGTAGGAAAATACTAAAAATAGTGACTTATACCGGAAATATTGTTAATTTTCTTATTTCAAGTTTAGCCTACAAATGTGGAAAATCATTCCCCTTCGTAAATAGTACCTTACCGCGACCAATTTTTGCTTTTAAACATGATTTTCCTGTAATTCAGACAAACAACACACCCTTGATAGGAAAATAAATCACATATCTACAGATGATCCCCCGACAATAAGAGGTAGGTACTTTAATATTTACATATAATTAATAGATTTACCGAAAACAACTTAAGTACGGAAACAAAATAAATAACTGGAAATAATTAACTGTAACCAAAATAGGAAAATGAATCAGTGGTTTCACATCTTTCCGGTTTTGAACGGTCAAGAGTAAATTCAGGTACCCGGCTTTTGTTTCCAATTATTGCTTATATGCTTGTGTAGCACAAGTTAAGCGGGATTTATAAACTCATCCGCAACAGCAACATTTGCTGCTGCAGTTGTGGTAACTGTATCCGCAACAGTAGGAGAATGCCTTGTAATTTATAAACATTCTTTTGTCAACTTTATTGCGGACCAATGTCAAACATTGCTTATAACTTCAATCATGTTCGTACACTTTTGTTGTTGTTTGTGTGGCGTCCACTTAGTTTTGTATTCAACTCATACATCATAATACAGCATAAAGCGCACTCCCACCAGCTGTACCCTTTCGTGATGAAACCTGCTCTACCGACCGAATAGCGTGTATATGATTGGTTCACCGTTGCGGAATCCGCAACAGCACCCGCTCAAGTTGAAAGTTGGCCATTTTCGGCGGTGCAGTTGCGGATGACGTCCGACAAACGTTGCTGTTACCGAAGTTTGTAGATTTCAGCACAGATTTTCTATGTTTCATCTTCTAGCGACTGCGGCAACCGCAACCGCTGCTATTACGGAATAGTTTATAAATCCAGCTTTATTTCCGTACAGTAAAAAGTAGAATTCTACGGATCGGCGCTGCATTTATTCATACTTTAGCAAATCACTAACAGGGGGCAGTATTTCCCGGGTCGTTTTATTCCCACTTTGACCAGGCAGATATTTTGCCCCCAGAAGGCAGCCACAAGTCATTATTCTGTCAATAATTCTTCATTTTGGAATTAATTGAATACTAGTGTGCCGAGTGATTTTTATTTAAAAGAAAAGAAAATTGTAGTTCTTTTTAGAATGGAAAACTGCGAAAGAAATGCAAGGATTTTTCCTGCATTGGGTGATTCACATTCATCTTATTAAGCCATTCGCCTTTGAGTTAATCAGTTCAAGCGTAGGAGAACATTCGTTGAAGACGCATCACATTATCGAAGACCAAAAACTGCCGTCAGAAATCATTGACAAAATTCATAAGAGAATTTTGACAGATAGATGAACGAAGGTGCCTGAGTTAACCGAAACTAGAGATATCTCAATGAAAATCAACTCCCTTAACCAACTTTAGACATTTTAAGGGTTAATTTTTTTGGCGAAGGTTTTTATGTGTTACACTTTTTGGCAAAAGTATCATTAAATACATATGTTTTTCTGTCATCCTGTTGGTCTATAATGGTTTTCGAAAGAGTCTGCAGTCAATGAGAAGTTCAAAGTTTTAATGAATGACTGGCTCAAACTACTGTTGTCAAATTGTAAAAGTGTCAGCATATCGATGCTTCCACGGAAATGGCCATTAAAACCTATACAATTTACTAACTGCGCATCACGCCAAAACAAAAGAAACAAAACAAAAAGCTTAATTTTTAATTATTTGCAGTTTATATGGCATTTCTATGAAAACTGTACACTAGAAGAAAAGTAATTTAAAATAAAATTGAATTAACAAATACAAATGTAAAAACGACTGCATTGTTTCAAGCAGAATAACACATGGCAAATTTAGATTCCGTATTTTGTTGAATTAGAAAACACAGTTATGTGACACGGAATGGAATCTTTCACGCTTGTAAATTTAAATGAAATATAACACAAAGAAAGGAAAATTATTTTACCAGGATAAAAAACAGTCTCTCTGCGAACAGTATAGTTCGCTTGGGGGATATGAAGCTCACAAGAGAACTCCTCTGGGTCTTCCAGAGTCGGTAAAGTTGTTGTCACCGAGATTTCGTAAAGTTGACCTCTCAGTCTCGCTGCTACTTGAGTTTCTTGGATCTTTCTGTAATGAAATAAAAACTAGTCACATATATTAAATATATCAATAGAGTAATCCTTAGCAGGTACATATAAACGAATTGTAAAGAGTTGTTTTAAAATCAGTAGACAAATATAAAAAGCTTTATAAAAAATAAGAATATTGATGATGCTTTGTCAAACCGTAAAATGCAGATTATTATTTTGTTATCATATTAGCGATGCCGAAAAATAAAATATTCCTTTTTGTATATAACGCACAACCTGTTTTCAAGAGTTACGAGGAGCTGTTCTGCAAAACGCAGTTTTTGTTTGTACTTTGTACCATAATTGTTGAGAATTGCATCTTTTTTACAAAGCCATTACGAGACCAGCTGAAAAATTAATAGTTTTTTCTAAAAAGAAAATGTCAATTTTACCAATATTATACATGGTGAAATTTGCAATGTGTTTTAAAACAACTGTAAATTTTTGAGCGTACCTACTTTAAACTGCGTTTTGCATTGGAACCGGGAAAAGACTGCGTTTTGTAACGGATTCTGAATAAATGCTACCAACGCAAGCAAAAAAGATAAAAACTAGGACATTCTTCATATCAAAAGCAAGTCGAAAGACAAAAAACTAATCAGTTGTAACAATATTGATGAACTTAATCGATCGTCTGCTTCTGTAAAATAGCAGAGCTCATCAGTTTCTTTTTCCTCAAGTGCAATTTGATTTTGTTCATTATTATCAATGAGTTGTCTCTAACATTGCAGTGACACCACTTCTCTCTAGTCCATTTTATCATTTTTTTCGCTGTCCATAGCTTTTTTGTAAAAAATTATTAATAGAATAGAATGTAATCTGGTTCTTTGAAGTGATTTGCGATTCTATAAAAATTTTCGAATTTCATTGTTACTTTTGTATCAATTTTTTGAAAGTATATTCGTTTGGTGTCTCGTATTTGTTCCACTGTTTTGAATGTTTGGGTGAATTGTTTCAGATCATACAATTCCCAATCGGTCCCTAGAACCTTAACGGTGCCTACTTAAAAAAAACGTTTCTGGTAGTGTTCTTTATTAAGAATTTCTTCTTTCTTTTTTGTTAGCTTTTCTATTCTACCGACTTATAAGCAGTATGGATATTTTTTTTGTGTGTTTGCTGTTAACTCTATTTTTCGGGGTATAAACATGCAAAAGGTGAGAAATTTTGTTATTCCGAAAGTAATAGAATTACAGTTATACCTTTTTGTCCCTTGGTTGCGATCTCTGTCGAAAGTGATTTGAATAATAATATCATTAATAACAATAATATATTAAATCCAACAGACCGAATGGTCCACAAAGGATTAAACAATATTTTACAACTAACATATATATCCTTGTGCATAGAGATTACATCCTAGGAAATGACACACTGGTGCGTGCAGTTGATACAGGAATTACTAATCGCTTATTTACAAATTTTTGCAGAACGCTCAAGTAAGTGAAGTTCAAGTAAGGTAGAAAATGACTACAATTGACTATGTGGTGGATTAACTTATAAATAAATACATTGCAAGAAAATTTCCTTCTGTCCTCTAAACGTCACGTCTGTCAAAAAATTTCGGAGGATATTCTCCAATTTCTATAAAATACATGTACTTACAAAATTTACTTTTGATGCGCTCGATAGACTGTATATGAACTAAATAAAATGGTCACCAGTGACGGCTCGTGAAGTTTCCTTCAGAGGAGGCTCAAATTTGAAAAGCATTACTTTTTATATCTTTCATTATCTGAATAATTTTTTTTGTCATGCCCACGAAGAGAACACTCCTGCGTTGATAGATAAACTATTGCATCGACTAGTCTTTTCAAAATTGCCCTATTTTCACCAACTTCCTCGTTATAGCTCTCAATATCCCTCTTATGAGCGGAATCTAAAGTAGTAGAAGAAAATAGGTATGTGTTCCTGTGATTTTTCATGCCTTTCTATTGCTCGTGACAAATTTTGTAAATTATTATACCCTGTTTTATCCGAAACGGAAGATTTGTCACTTGTGAATAACACACATTTCCAACAGTATAATTGGTTTCTTAAAACCGAAGCCGTTAACCATTTAGTTTTATTATAATTATTTTCATGAAATGCTCTGTTTTACTTTCTACCTGTCATTACCATTAATGGGAGTGGTGGTGTTGGTCTCCCCTTTTGTTTTATAGCGATCTTTTTATCAGAATCAAATCTACTAAATTCATTTTTTAATAGATAATTTACGTATCTGCACATGAGACTGAATTATTTTCGTTGCTCATTTTCGTTAAGTATAAGTAATATTAATATGCCGATAATACCAGCTGTTTTTAACGATCAGAAATAAAACGCAAATAAATGATACAAAAAAAACACCTTAGGCTTTACGTAGGTACTAAAGCCTAAACACCACTCACCACTGAATAGGGAGCACGCAAAACCACCTCAATGTTTTTCCCATTTACACCGGATCGTGCCAATTAATAAGAAAGAGATAAAATTATTCGTGCGACTTGATCTGAAAAGAGATGAACTCTAGCGGCCTGAAGCGGCACCCCGATCAACGTTTTAGCCAACGCAGTACTGAAATGACGATACGTCAAGGTTGCGGTCTCAATAGTAAGATGCATTCTCGGCGGAGGCTAGCCTTTATCGCTAAAGCCAAACGCGGAGTGGTGTGAATTATGATTGTAAGGGCGCAAATATAATTTTTTTGATATTTTAACCTGATATATGATGAAAGTAAATTAAATCAAACAAAATATTCTGAAAAGTAACAAATGTCTACAAAAATACAAATTCTTTCATCGAAAAAATTAGAGGAAGCTCAGCTCCAAAAAACAGAGGAGGCTCAGCTTCCCCTGCCTCCTCTGAGAAGCCGCCACTGATGGTCACCATACCACACTGGCATATTCAAGCCTACACCATACCGATGCACCTTATAAAGATTACAAACAGTTAACATTTTTAAAATGAGAAACATTTCACTTTATAAAGCCTGAAATCTTTATAGCTTGTGTGCAGATATACTCAGTATGTGGTACAAACGATAAATCTTGATCTATTATAACACCTAAATCTTTAATTTCAGAGACTCTAAAAATTGCTTCATCATTTATAACGTAATTGTATTTAAAAATATTGTTTTTTTCCGCGATAACCTTATCACTTTACATTTAGATTCGCTTGCAATTAATTTATTCCTTACACAACAACTATAAAATCTATTAATATCATTTGTAGAATTCATAATCTTTTAATAATAATAATATCTTTATTATTCTCCAACAAGGTGGCCCTAATGACAAGACGATCTATACTTCTATACTTCTATACTTATATTATAAAGCTGAAGATTTTGTTTGGTTGAACGCGCTAATCTCAGAAACTACTGGTTCGAATTAAAAAAATCTTTTTGTGTTGGATAGTCCATTTATAGTATCTACATATAGGCTGTGTAACATCACGCTACGATCAATAGGAGAGAAGTACCAATGAAAAATTCGGATAAACGGGAAAATTATTCCTCCTTTGACAGCTTCCGTTGCTTACGCTGCTTAAACGGTTAAAATTACGTAAAAATCATGTATGACGAAATTGTTCCCCTCTAAAAGTTCTAAAGAAAGGTCCGCGACAGCATATCTTTTAAGGTCGACTCAGTATAACCTTTTTTATGGTAATGAAGTTTGTTCTAAAATAATAATGCATTATGTATAAAATTCTCGCGTCACAGTGTTTGTAACCGAACTCCTCCGAAATGGGTTGACCGATTTGTATGAATTTTTTTATGTATTTTCGGTAGGTCCGAGAATAGTTTGTAAGCTATTTTTTATACTCCTAACTGATAAGGGTGGCCCACCCTAAAAAATGACACAAACTACTTATTTAATTTTAAATCCATTTAAAAGCCATTATATGTTCGCGACGTACATAGGGATGTTGTCTGGAAAAGCATATAGAAGGTTTATTTTTATTTGAGAAGGGTCGTGGAGAGATATTCATCACGTAATAAAGATCCGTCTAAGAACAAAGCAATAAAAGTAATTTCTAACAAGAACACATAATGTAGCACAACGTGTGGCTGTTACATACAAGCTGTAGATCCTTCTAGAGGTTTATTCCATTTCTACATCTTTTTTTTTGTCAAATTACGATGGCGACGGACACTGTACAGCACTTGAGACGACCACGAGCTACTCTTATCTTTTCACACATCACTGACTTCAGCTTTCATAAAAATGAAAAGAATCTCTCTTTTCGTTGGACGAGAAATACGGCGTTGTGGAAAATATGAAATTCGGACGACCTACTATAACAGATTAGAAACATGAGAATTCACCAGGGCGGCCGCAGGTGCAAAGGTGTTTCATTTCAATGAGTTATTTTTCGGAGACTGTGCGTGAAAAGACTACTAACACAACTCAATCTTATCCAGATTACCCGTAAACAATTGTATAAATCGATTAACTGTAATGATAATCCTCAATTATATTTTCAACTCCTACGACAAAACTTCCCCCGCCCTGGAAGTACAGTCCAACAAATCACACTTCCTTCCAAAATTAGAAAATTTGATTTTACGATTTTTGTTTTGTAATAACTTGTATAAAATCAAAAATTGGTTGACGGTTGTTTTGAAGGAACTTTCCTCGCCCATGAAGTACAGCAAAATATATCTTACTTTTTCGAAAAATCATGAAACACGATTTTGAGAATTTTTTTTTTGAGAACCCCTAACATTTAAAATAAACATACATGTATTTCATCTTAAAGTCTATGTAAAGAACAGTGATACGGATATATTTCAGATAAGTTTTTACTTTGCTTAAGGGCAAATGGGGCGCATTTTGAACACTTATTATAAATTATTTTTCTTTTCTGTTTCTTACTTCTTAAGTAATTAATTTGTTGTTTTTCATTTTCTCAAATAAAATGCTCTTTAGTTCATTTTGCAATAAAAATGTATTTTCAAGTTTATTATTCATTTATTTCTGTAACAAACATAAAAATAT